GTCTTAATAATACTGTACACAATTCATTGTCTATCCCAACTACTGCTAATGGGTCCAGTGTAGTGTGACCGAGGCTGAATGGGGACAGGAAATAGTCCAAAATATTTACATATCAATGAATACTTCTATACATTATATCTGGTATACAAATATATAATTGAAAGACTTGAAAAGATTAGAGTTTGTTATATTTAAACTTCTGAAAATGTAGTTATATCTATGAATACACCTACATGTACCATTTATATTTGCTTTTATTTATTTCCTTGGTCATGATGTTAATAAATATAATATGGTCCTGAAGAAGCCCACATGTTCGGGCGAAACCGGTAGACATACAATAAATTAAGAAACCAACCTATCCTGAGCTTGTTGCGATTGAATATTGCCTTTAGTTTCCCGTTCCTCAATCGCCCTGCATACCCCTGGGTATCCAAGCAAGGGATAACGGAACCTACAGAACCTAGATCAGAAGTACCGCGTTGGCTCTACACCCGATGATGTATAATATATATATATACAAGCTTCAGCTTCATAACCAGGCCAAGGTCGGAGACATAAGATTTGCTCAAGTGGTTTTAGAAATATAGTGAATGCAATGAACAATGGGAAATAACTTCAATTAATTAACGCAATAGGATAAACCATAATCAATCATTAATCAATGGACATAACTTAGATATAATATATACTGTCAAACATACTTGTGCAACCACCCACCATTAATGTTCTATTGTAGTGATATTCTGTGAACTAAACCCGTGTTAAGAGACCACCATTACTGTTCTATTGTAGTGATATTTTGTGAACGAAACCCGTGTTAAGAGACCACCATTACTGTTCTATTGTAGCGATATTTTGTGAACTAAACCTGTGCTAAGAGACCACCATTACTGTTCTATTGTAGTGATATTCTGTGAACTAAACCCGTGCTAAGAGACCACCATTACTGTTCTTTTGTAGTGATATTTTGTGAACTAAACCTGTGTTAAGAGACCACCATTACTGTTCTATTGTAGTGATATTTTGTGAACTAAACCCGTGTTAAGAGACCACCATTCCTGTTCTATTGTAGTGATATTCTGTGAAATAAACCCTTGTTAAGAGACCACCATTACTGTTCTTTTGTAGTGATATTTTGTGAACTAAACCCGTGTTAAGAGACCACCATTAATGTTCTATTGTAGTGATATTTTGTGAACTAAACTCGTGTTAAGAGACCACCATTACTGTTCTATTGAGTGATATTTTGTGAACTAAACCCGTGTTAAGAGACCACCATTACTGTTCTATTGTAGTGATATTCTGTGAACTAAACCCGTGTTAAGAGACCAGCATTACTGTTCTATTGTAGTGATATTTTGTGAACTAAACCCGTGTTAAGAGATCACCATTACTGTTCTATTGTTGCGATATTTTGTGAACTAAACCTGTGTTAAGAGCCAAACTGTTATGTCAGAGACCAAATGTATGGACTTCCCTTGGGTGGTCTCATAATACACATTTCATGGGACTGAAGACCATATCACACCAGACGGCAAAATGACCTATATATCGGGGAAATAAAAATGTTTAGTATGATATGTACATATAGGACACTACAATCTGGAGCTCTCAGAGGACAGTTGGGGTAGGAAGATGGTTGATTCAATTTTATAATGCCATTTCTTATTGCGGTATACAAAAAACACATACAGGATATATAACAGTTCAATTACATTATCTAATACTTCTAAACAAACCCTATACCTTCCAATGTGTCTTAGTTTAACTTTGTTGACTGTCACTTAGTGTAAAATAATTTTCCTCAAGAGCCTGATTTAAAGCAAGCTGGAAAGCATTAGTTACAATTGACACTGAAGGAGAACCGTCCCTGCTAACCGCACTCGTTTCCAAGCTGTTGTGTGCGTTTCCAAGCTGTTGTGTGCGAAACAATCACAAAACATTGCTCGTAATATAAAACCATCCTAATCTAAATCAGTCATCCCAAATCTGCAAATTGCTGTCCTCTTATTGAACAATATGAGGAGTAATATTAGCCTCAGGGATGTAGTTCCTGTGTCTAAAATAACATAAATGAATCCACAGCCTGGGTTGTCCCCCCCTTTTATCCAATATTTAAGGGTTTTCTAGTTCCTTAAAATTTATCTGCCTATATATAACCAGTAAAATTAAGCACCAGCTTGGGTTGTTGCCTAGCTGTATCAACTACTTTTTTTAAACATCACTTGTAATTTTGCAGATTCAAAATCACATGCATGTAATACAAACACTTAAAACACAAGGCTATTGATGACAGCAGCATTTAAAAGACAAGTGGCAACTGTTGATACACCTTCAGCAAAATTAAATACTATGTAGCTCAGGAAACATCAGATATTCTGCTTAGCAAAGTAACAGACTACACTATAACTGCTTCAAAATCAACATACATCATTGGTCCCTGTGGTGCCCTCATTTGACAGGTGTCGCCATACTAAATTATATCAGCATCCAGACATTGATAACCTTCAAGTAGTCAAATATGGCTGCACCAGGCATAGCACAGGTTCAAGCCAATATTGCAGCCCAGGTACAGTATTAACTCATTCACCCCTGAAGACACATGTTAACCCTTCCAATTCAAAGGTTGGAATTGTTCATTATGAAATTTCAGGGGTGAACGAGTTAATATACATTGTACAGGTAGCTATCGGTCATTTACAATAATATGTCAGAGAAGATTTTCTCCAAATTTCACTGTTTAGCGTGTGCATTTTTATGTGCATTCCAATAATCTTTATCACATGAGCGTTTGATACAAAGGCAGCCAGTCTAATCTGAAGCAGACTGCCAAGTGTGGTCACATTGACAAATATGAAAACAGCAGCATGACAAAGTTCTGTTACACCTGCTGTCACCACATATGAAAGAATCTCAGTTCAGCTACTTGGAGAGCATGCAATATGCATAGGTAAATATAATTGGCTTGACATGTATTGTTTAATCTTGGATATTAACATCAGGCAGGTTCATCCTACAGAAAACTACCTGTATAAAATATCAACTGTACATTGCAAATAGGTGGTCATTTTACACAGGCTGTCACTTTAAACAGTGTAAACATTACAATATATGGTACATATATATCCAGGTGGTCACATTAGACAAGTTATCAACATCAGATGGTCTCTTTAGACAGGTTGTTGTGGAGTTTAGTTCCCTTAATTTATTTGATTTTACTGGAGATAAATGGTTTCCATATAAAAAACAACTTAATGAAAATCCTATACATTTGGAAAGCAGAAAATGGTTGTCAAGCTCTCAAGAATGCATTTAGATTAATACAAAGTTTCAAGTATAATTTAGTACGACAATCCCAGTCACATATTCTGCTGTTTTCATGTAGAAATCAAAACAAGATGTCATTATCACTTCTATGTACACAGTTATACAAGAACATCATTACCAGCATTTTATGTCCAAAATCATGTCCACTTATACTAAGCTGTTAATAGGACGTTAAACAAAATGAAACCAAATCAAACCATGTCCAAAATATTTACCAAGAATGATTTATGTCATACAAATTCACATCAAAACAGGTATTGTACGTAGGTGTTTAAAATTATGATCAATTTCCATTGATCACAGTTCTGCTAGATGGGATACCAGGGATAAAAAAAAAAATCTATTTTGCTTTTACGAAAGAAAAATGACAGTCATGTTTTAACCTGGTGTCAATTGACAACTTAAAATGTGAAGAATTCACGACAGGTAAATGGTTCACAATTTTTGCATAAATTATATGAAATAAATGATTAACTCACCTGAAGTATAAAGCTATCCAGGAAAACAACACTAATGTTGTCATCATCTATGATTACAGCATTACTGAGCTGGATTGATGAGACTTCTATGATTACAGCATTACTGAGCTGGATTGATGAGACTTCTATGATATGGTGATCATGAAAACACATTAGTGATTTTATTTTCTACTGTTTCACTGGTGAAAAATACTTTTGCTTATGAACAGGTATTGGATACTTAAATTTAACAAGATCATTGTATATATTTCTCCTTTACAATGTCAGAATAATGGTCATATTATTATGATCTGTAAGATAATTTCATGAAGCTAAGCACTGTAGCATTTAACAAGTGAATGTGCCCAATTATCCAACGCTAGGCAGTAAGTGTAACATAAAGTCGTGTCATTTTTTTCAAATCTAATTAACACTTTTATGAAGAAATTGCTAAATAAATACATTTTAATTATTATCGGAAAACACCTTCAACTTATGTAATAGAACTTGCTTGGAGATAAAAGTGCAGAAAATTCAAATGACGAAATTTGATATTAAACAAATTCGTAAAAAAATTCCTGAGTAAATATGCTGATTTATTGCATACCTATTGAATCTTTCTATATTGATACAGCCAAGTTGCAGGCCATACAATACAAGGTCCATTGTTTCAATCTGTGATAATACAAGATGTATTACCCCAGTAGACAAACTCCTTTCATTGATCAAATCAACGAATGGAAACAAAAATGGGTTCCTAACATTTTGGTGCAGTTTTACGCTCTGGTAACATGACGTCATTATTCCTTCCTTGACTCTTTTTTGTCCAATATTATCAATTATTGCGCCAACGATTATATTTCACTAGATCTAAAGCCCGCATAAAATATATCCATACTCGTACATGTAATACACACGAGCAATCTAAGTCGTTACATCACCAAAAAAGCGTGGCATTACCAATATATCGTATTTAATCTGGAATAAAAAAAATGCAGGTCTAATGAATAATTTTAATATTTCAAAAAAAACTTGGACATTGAATAACAGTTAAAGAACTTGTGTTAAACAGTTGTTAAGCTTATAATACTTACCCTGATCAGAAGGTGTATAATGTTTGTATTGCTGATATATCTGTATACTCCACATACCTTACATGTGTCACACAATACATCCTGTGTTCCCTACCTAATAAACAATAATCAGTCTTACCTGCTGGTTCACCTCAGCTGATTACCAAAGGAAATAACAGTTATCACATAATCTCAGAGTAAGGTCCCACTGTCCAGCAGTCCATGTTACTGGTCAAGTTCAGCTTCATAGAATTAGAAGCTGGACATAACAACACGTAGCCGGTCAACACACTACTAAGGTAAATCACAAAAGATACAATTTCCTGAAAAGTCTCCCAGCCAGTTGGCTATGAAGCTGTATACATCCAATATCCTCTGATGGTGAGAACAACACATGGCTAGGAAGCCTCCCCAGCACTGGCTATGAGAGAGACCAGGAGATGTGGCTATGTGGCTGTACACAGTGGTAGCTATAGGGTGACTGGTCCTGATAATACACTGTAAAGATGTAACAGTGGGGTCAGGGTCAATGTGTCAGAATCAAGGGGCTAGTTAGTTAATAAGGCCTTTCCTTGTGTCTTATTCTGAGATGTCATATATATATATATATTATAAAAAGGGATTAAATGTCCATGTGAAGGAAGTAAATATAGAAAAAATAAGATTAACGACCTACTAAAAAACTAGCTGCTTTCACCCTTCACAGGGCTCTTCATGTTTATTCAAAAGAACAACGTTGTGACGTCACAATTACAAGTCATCACACTACAATAGTAACGTGACGTCACGAAGTACACAAGATTGGTGGACAATTTAGTGTAAAATTTTACTGTGGCCTGTTGAGACTTGGTTTCAATATTTTGATCAGTTGGTCTTCTTTCGTTTCTCTTAAAATAGTGTCCGATGAAAATAGTTGATACAAAGGTAATACATTAAATTTATCTCCAGCACATTCATGAATACGTTTGTTAACATGAAGATTTCGTAAAGAATCAGTTCTAGTTTGTTGTCTATGTACAGTCATACGTGTTCTGAGTTCATTACCGGTTTGACCGATGTAAAAATCACCACATTTAGAACAAACTATTGCATCAATTACATTTTTTTATTTACAATTCATATTTACCTTCACAGTAAATTTCAAACCATTCTTGAAAATGAAAGTATTACACTCGATAATCATAGGACATGTAGCACATCTTGGTGTCTTACATTTGGATACTTCTGGTGTTACACAAGAATTATCAAACTTAGAACATGTCAACATACGTTTCAAGTTCTTAGGTTGGCGTCTACAATGTAAAATAGCATGTTTATTAAAAATGTTTCTCATACGCCTGCTCCTTTGCTTTAACCCTTCACATTTGTTCTTTATCACAGGAAACATATTTCAATTCCGTGGATTGAAAGTAGAAACATAAGGAACTAACTTTGATTCATCCTTTAGTTTTTGTAGACGGGAAGTAAAGGGTCCCTTTTCAATAGCTTTCTGTATACCATGTTCTATTATCTCAGTAGGATAACATTGAGCTTTAAGGTATTGCTTTAAGATTTGGATTTGTGTCGGATATAGATTTATGTAGCTTCATATCACTGTATGTAATTGTACAAAATTAAATTGTACATTTTTCTAAAGTTAAGTCTACAGTATCTGAAGGTCGAGGATACTCAACAAAATAGAAACATATAGGATTCACAGTATTTTGTTTAAATGTATGAAATTACAACGGGACAATTGTAATATCCTGATAAAACACTAAAGAACTTGTCAAGTCGGTCGAAAATGAAGTCTATAGAATTAATTATAGACTGTTTGCATTGGTTTACTTATGAGACTCAGGTTATTGTTCAACCATCACTTTCACACACTGCTAAAGTGAAAGTAGCCGAATAGTGAAGGAGAGAAATATTAGTTGTTGTCAATCATGTGCACAATGAGTGGAAGCTCTTTAATTTTCATACAATGTAATAACAAGTTATTGTTGATCAGTACACTACACACTCTACCGAAATCCTCCTGACAAACCAAACAAAAAAAATATTATCGTTTTTGAGAATTTATTTATTATAAGAAAATATATATCGGTAACTATTTTACGATATATAATTGTTGCATGCATAAATCCTCTTCAATTTTTAATATTGAAAATTCAATATTTGAAATTCAAAATGAGTGATTAAATCATATATATTGATACCAGGTTTGTATGAATTAATACTTTATCAGAAATCAACAACATCTGACAAAATTAAAACCAGTCAAGTACTGTATATTAAATCCATACAAAACATATCATAGTCATAAATGAAGTTTACAGATTACAATAGGAAACACACACTAAACCACATGACTGACACTCTTCCACAGGAAACCCAACATGTCCATTTCTATGTAATAAGCAAAGATAATGACATTCCCCAGCATCATCAACTTGTCAGCAGATTTCAATTTATCAAGACAAATTTGATTCTTTTTCACATAATCTTGAACTAATTTATCACCGATTTTGCATACAAGCTCCTGTGTCTTTTGTCATCTGGATAATGAGAGAAGCGTTAATCTGTTACGAAGATCTAATGACCATTATCAAGATGCCGGTATTCTCCATTAATGTCACAACATGCAATCACACCACACATCAGTGCTACCAGATTGAATCTTTTCACCATCCATCACAGTAGCTACACTGCACGCTATGAGAGTCATAAAGGTACAGGTTACGGTTTATACCTTTTATAAATTACACAAATGTAGGTATACCCTACCCAAGATTACATACATTTAAAGTCGGAACAAATCACTAGTCCATGTTTTTAAGACCAGTTTAAAATGTAACCTTTAAAAATTCTCAAGTTGAGTCATGACATTTATTGTAAGATGCTGATCATGAATGTATATAGTACACAGTATATAGCAAAATACATCTCAAATGTTATATCTATAGGAGTCAAAACACTCTGACATAAGTTTAAGTAAGCTTAAGCTGTATTATAGGTCACCGACTCCCGAGATTTAACGAACAATATAGCAGTCTTAATGAAAGCCCTGTTGTAATTGTTCTGAACAAGACAATGTCTTCCTAGCTGTGCATGTAGGTACAAGTATTGTATTAAGTAAGACATTTTACTAAAGTTGTTCTGGTCTGCCTAGCTGTACACGCAGGTACCAGTATCCTAAGACATTACCCTGGTTGTTCTAGTCTGCCTAGCTACATACATGAATTTGAAGGTACCAGTGTCCCAAGACATTTTATCCTGCTTGTTCTAGTCTGCCTAGCTGTACATGAATTTGAAGGTAATAGTATCCTAAGACATTTTATCCTGCTTGTTCTATTCTAGACTACCTCGCGGTACATGTAGGTATACCGGCCAGCACCTGAAGACATTCTACTGTGGTGACTCTAGTTTGATTTGCCATCTATAAATTTACCAGGTACCAGTAACTTAAGACATGTTACTTTTTAACATTGTTCCATTCTGCCTATCGCTAGCTTTAGATGTAAGTACCAATATCTTATATTCTGTTCTGGTCTATCTAGATTTCTGTGTAGGTAGTCCAGCTGGACATTTCACTAGTCTCAAACTATCGTGTGTAACCCTTATAATTATTGTCTAGCCCTGATTAAGGTACTGCTACCTTCGTACATTTTACTGTGGTTGTTCCAGTCTACCATATATGTACAGTAGGTATCCCGAGATATTGTATCCTGGATCATATTGCTCTAGTATTCCAGTAATATAAAGCTATTTATATCCTTAAGATTTTTTTTTACATTTGTTGTTACGGGATCAACTTATTGCTCTAGTCTATCGAGCTGTACATAAAGGTACCAACATCCTTAAGACATTTTACAATGGTTGTTACGGACCAACTCATTGATCTAGTCTACCAAGCTGTACACACATATATATATATAGGTATCAATATCCTTCAGACATTTTACACTGATAGTTCCAGATTCCAGTCAGTAACAAGATTTCATCTCTTTAGTTTTCATTGTATTCTATCTCCATGTTCAATTCCAAGTCTTATAATATTCAATTACATTTTTTTTCAGTCTTCAATTATATTTTTTTTTAAGAAATTGAATGAAATGAGATGTTAAATTGTGAACACTTTGTAGATATCTACATCTGCATGCAGCAATAACCAAATCAATGAAAGTGCATTGGGACAACGGAAAATTTCTTTTCGGAATGAAGTCTATTACCAGGGACCTAAAGAAAACAGATTTTAAGTAAAACTGTGTCACGCAGAGGGTAAGTGTGGCAGTCAATTGAATACATGTAAACATAATGTGAAGCAGTGATCACATCTTCCGTCCTACTTCGAGTGATTAAAAGGCATGTACAAAAAGCATGTCTACAGGTTGAATGGCCATTGTTGTTTATTGTACATGTACATGTCCTTGAGCAAAACACTTCCTGTGATTGGACCAGCTTTTCTACCGAATAAGGTGAATGTGCTTATCCACAGACACTGTGAATGAATCTCCTTTGAATGTAAGGTGAATGCATTGTCAAATTCAGGCCCTATAGGTGTCAACACCAGTCTACATACTTGAAGAGGATGGGTTGCCACTAGGGGGAGTGGCGGATGATTGGGGGATGGGAGAATAGTAAATGTGTTAGAATGTCAGAAATTATATTCAGAAGTATTGTCAAATGCACACACCATATTATTTTCAAACACAGTTGAAAAATAGAACATGACAACTTTGCGCAGCTCTGAAGACCATTTTCCATCTGATTTGTATTTGCTTCACTTTTTTGGAGCGAAGATTTGATACTGCAGAGACATTGACGAGAACCAATGTCTTTTTTATCTATCAGGAACTCCACACAAATGGATTACATTGTCCCAAATTTAGGCAACACAAGGCTTCCTCTGCATTTCAGACACATCCTCATGTGTCTATATAGCCCTTACCCACATTAACACGCTTAGTAAAGCAAATAGATTCCTTGCCTGTCTAACTCTATTAGGAACTGCATCTGGGAATCATGGACGTGTGACATAAAACAGTAACAACTATGAACCTAGAAAACTGACAGACCACACAGTAATAAGACATGACAACAGAACAGGACAGAACTGTAAGTCATTAACATTTTCACATCAGCCATACCACTCAGGGCACAGGTTAACAATATTTTGACATTTCAATTATTATTTCAAGGTCAGAAACTGGTGTTGGGTGTATCTGGTAAAATATTTTGATCTATAACCACTGGTTGCTCTTTCACATCTTATCATTCAAGGCAGCGATCAATAACACTTTCACATATATCCCAAATGTATGTCCTAAGCCGAGAAACTAGAGTGACAGTGCTGACAATGAAATTTGTCACTGTTTCCTCTTCACTTATATTTATTTAAGTAATATACATCGAACAAACATCCGACTCTTAGAATCAGCAGTGATGTTTTGTGACTCAGATATATCT